GGCGGCCGAGAGGGGCCCCTGCTGTCTACCGGGGCCTATTTATAGGGTAGCGGGCAGGTCTCCGCCCACTTCGGCGCGGGGCACGACGGGAGTTGTAGTCCCCGCCCACCGAGGCACTACGGGAACTGTAGTCCGTCAGCCGACGGCCATTTTGCGCAGCCCCGGGCCCGGGGGGGGCCGGGGGGGTTGTCCCCGCACCCCCGTCCCCCCCGCGCTGCCCCCCCAGCCCCAGAGAGCAGAGCCGTTCCTCTGGCCAAAGGGAGATGTCACCAGTCACGTTTATTCGGAGGGGAAAAAAAAATTCAGTTACAGAGGTCTTCTCATGAGTCAAAAGTCTTCAACAACTGGATTTTTGTTTCTTGTGTCAAGAGGTACAGTGTTGGTTTTTTTCTCTTTAAAGTAAAAATATAAAATTAAATAAACCTCCAGCAAGTCTCAGCGGTTTATAAATCTGTATTGCTGACTATGAGAAAGGTTAGTTCTGCCTTTCTTCCACAGAGGGCAGAATATTGCTTAAAAATGCTAAAATGTTCCTCCCGGGGAACAAGGTTTTTTTCCCCTCAAGGCCTCAGTTAGGACGTTGGAGCTGCCCAGACCAGACCACCAGCAGTTCCAGCCCCCTTGCTCCAGCCAGCGCTGGGTGAGGACCCTGCGTCCATCCCACACCATCCCCAGCCCCTCGGCTCTGCGCTGGCCCCGGGGTCCCACCGGAGCTGGAAGAGTTTGAGAACAGGAGCAGAGAGAGATGGAAAAATTCAGAAAAAAAAATAGCACATCATTTATTCTCTTTTATTGACTTTGGTAATATTTGCACGTGTGGAGTTTGGGGTGGAAAACCCAGATCTTGGCGAGGAAGCACGGTGCCTGCAGAGACGCCCAGGAGCATTTTTAAAGGCGAGTTTTTCCCAAATCCAGCTACAGCAGGGGAATAACCAGAGTGCCGGTCAGCAGGTATCCACAAAGAAAAAAAACCTCACATTCAACTACATGTAATTCAATCGGCTTTTTTCTTTTTTTTTTCTTCTCCTTTTTTTTTTTTTTTAAAAAGACTTACTAAAAAAGAGTGATACCCCTGGCCAGACTCTAGCCCAAGTCCAACAACTCCTGTAGCATTTCCCTCGCCTATCGCCAGAGGAGCACATGCGGACAGGAGACACTTCTGAGAGCCACCAACGCATGTCAAAGAGTGGAACATCCTCACAGGCCATGGAAACCAGCCACAGGGAAGAATTAAACTCCCCGGGACACCAGGGAATTAAAAACCACTGCCGGGTGGCAGGCAGCTCGCTGGCCTCCTGCCACTCTGCAGAGCTGTCAGGTGGGGAACATCATCTGCTTCCGAGCAAGTTGGACAGTCAAATTTAAAAACGAGCTCGCCACAGTGGCATATTAAAAAATAGAGCGTTTATACGTAAATCAAGGCGGAGACAGAACAGAGTAGACTGAACAGTCTACAGTTTCACAGGGGAGATAAAATTTGTTATTTTTCCCAATTATAAATGTACAATCTAGAGGCTAAAAGAAAAGAGTGAGAAATCCTCTGCCCCAGGGAAACAGAGAGGAATGCCTACGCGGCCTGGAGGAGCTGAGACGGCATGGCAAGGCAGATCACCTTGCACCGTCCACGTGTACCATATCACTAAACACAGGGCACTTTTTCTCGGGCGTAATCAGCTGTTTGGTTTGGGTTTTTTTTCCTCCAAGAAAACCTGTAACGGGAGAAATTAAAAAGAAGAGAGGAAGAAGAAGAAAGCAGGCAGCTGTCTACACTCCCTCTCTCACTGGGATTGGCTTAGTTGTTCACCTCTTCAACAAGTATGGGTAGTATAAAAGGTTAGAAAGAGTGGATATAGACTAGCTTTTACTCCTGATTTTATTTTTCTGCTTTCTTTTTTTAAGTAGTCTGAAGTGGCTGAGAGAATCCTCCCTCATTGGCAAAGTCAATAGGAGCTGGTTGTAGTCAGTGGGAAGTCCAGACTGTTTGTTTTGGTTGTAAGAGACAAACAGTGCTAGATTATTTTGCTTCTGTTTTTTGGGGGAAAAGGGGCGAGTGTGTGTGAATTGGGTGCTACATGGAGGGAGCGGGAGCTGCTCAGTCGCCAGCCTCATTCTCTTCTGCTGTCTCTCCTGTGGTGGCATTCTCTGCGTTCTTGGAGGCCTGTGGAAACAAACCCACAGCAGCGGTCAGAACAGG